AGAAAATAATTTATATTTTGTCATAGGAATATAAATAAATCTGTATTATTGTATGAAAAGTCAATGGTGAGTGTGTTCAACAGAGGACATAGCCTGGGTGTCAGATTTAATTTATATTCATCATCATTTGAATGTAGAACTCATTAAGACTTGAATAAATAGATGATTTAAATTAATTATTATGGGATCATAAAATGTCAGGGTTTTTGGTGTGGATTTCTGTTACTATGAAAAGGTTTATTTAAAGCTAGACAGATCATTTTTATGGATGTTAGGATATGGATGAATATTAGACGTTTTGACACAATGAATGGTATTTTTTTAAAGAAATAAGTAAAGTGGTTTGGATTAAATTCATGTCAATAAAATAGGTTATTTTAAATCAGTGTTTCTGCAAAAGTATTTAAAAATAGACTTACTTTAGGTATTGAGAGGTTCACTTCTTAATGTACTGAAAAAGAATGTTACTATTCAAACATAGTTTTTATTTTGCTGTTTTGAAATTATGTATCATGATTGTTAAAAATTTATGTCCTTGCCATATCACTCCCATGATTTTTTAACAAATTGATGAAGTGCAGATCTGTGGCTACTTGTGAATGATTGTACATTTAAACATGCTTGTGATAAAGTTTTGCATCAAAGGTAAAAGACCATAATGAAACTGCTACTGTTTTATCTATCTTTTCAAATTGAACAACACTGTTAGCCAATTCAGAGATACATGTTGTAAGAAGCTGTTCCTCATACAAATGGTGTAACCATGTAGGTCAGTGAGTAAATCAAGAGAGCCACCCTTGTGGGGTTCAAAGGTTATAAACCTGGCAGATAATGGCAGATTTATGGTGGTTTGGTATGACCATTCCTCACTGGTCAGTAAGCACTTAATCAAGTAGCCCTGTAATTGCATTTCCTCACTTGATGTCACCTGAAGTACATGTGCCAAGGTGTTTGCCACTGATTTTAAACACTTCTCCAAATTTATTACTGTCCACTTCTTAAAGACATCTCCTACTCTTGAATTATATAAGAGATTACTGTCAATATTAGTATCTTTGAGTTCTTCTGCTAAACCAGGGATTGTAAATTCTTGATTGGTTCTTGGAATTGATTCATGGAATAATTTGTTCAAATCCTATGAGGAAAGGGTTTGGGGATTTGTTTTCTGCACAAGGGATCATTTTCTTTGTACTGTAAATCACCAGTATGGTGGAAGTGTTTACATGTGCCAGAATGCTGTATATTTTTCTTACTGGTCAAGCTTCCTGTGGTCATTTAAATGGATGATGTTTTTTACATTATTAGAATTATTTCTGAAAGTTTATATGGGTTAGGTCAGGGGTCATTATTTTGATTTCTAGATTTTTATACTCATTAACACTTCTTAGAGTGATTGCCCAGATTTTAATGTTGATATCCCTTGTTGAGCATGACTGATTTACAGATTTAACTTATGGACTGGCACAGGAAATTATAGTGCTCTTTTAAAAGCTGAAAGGGCAGAAATGTGTTTGGAAACTTCATATGTTTGCCAGAGCTAGGCATGTTTATTTGTTCAGCAAATTTCCAGGACTTTAAAAAAAAGCTTTTAAAGGATTGTCTTTTATTATGCCATGCCACAAGTGTCTTGCTTTTTAAGTGGATGTTCCTTTTTAATCTTTTTGAATATTGACCAATCAGGATGGACCTTTTCAGGATTATGAAATTTTAATGACTTTTGCTGCTGGCTGATTTTGGAGAAAAAAATATGTGAAAAAACAGAGATCTTTTTTCATTTGTGGTCTTTGTCTTTGAAACGTTATAGAGTTAATTATTGAATTCTGACCAAAATGTTTGATTAACTTTATTCGAATTTCTTTTGTGCCTTTTTTTCAGATAGAACTTTAGTATCTAAGAGTGTCCAAGAAGTAAAGAAAGCACTGGAAATAGTGGGGCACAAATTGGTGAAAAGGTAAGGTGTTATTTATATACTGTGTCACTTTGTATTTCTAAAATTTCCTTACAGTATAGATTTAATTTTGATTATTAGATTTATTTTTCTTAGTTGATGAAAGTGTCTCATTAAATATATTACAGTATTTCTTTATATAAATTTTTGCTGTTAGGATTTTAACATAGGCATGGGGATTTAACATAGGTCTGTCATAAATCTATAAATATCTTATGTATATGATTATATTCAGTATGTTATTGTAAAGAACTGAAACCAGTAAGAAAAGGAAGATTTTATCTCTGAAATTTGTAAGGCCCTGACAAGCAAGGAAACAGTACCAAATTGTCTAAAAACTTCTAAAAAAAATCTTATACTTTATGAATAAATAAAACGATTGTACTGAACATTCCTGTAAAATATCTTTTGTAAATCTATCTTGGTTGCCAGGGGCACACCTTGGGTCTGTATGATTGATAGACATTGATTAAATTTATTTTAGAAATATCTCTTAGAGAATGATTTTTCCAGACTTGGTTTACTGTACCAAAGAAAAGAAAGGTTTTGCATTGTAGCAAGCTATCAAATTTATAGCGAATTCATCTGAAATGTGTTAGTATTTTTGAGGTGTGAGACATTACTTGATTATTAAAGGCACATAATGCCTCAGAAATGAATAAATGTTTATCGTAAAGAGAAAACATTTTAACAATGGTTTTAGAACATGTAAGATTCATATCAATTGAAGAAAGTAGTGCTGAAAATTATTTGTCTTTAAAGAAGTAAAATGTAAAAAAAGTAGTATTTTGACTTTCATACAAAATAGATCTACTAAATCTGTATTACTTTACTCATTGGCTGAAAACAGTAGAAGCAAGAGATTGCAAAGATATATGGCAAATGAGTAACTTTTTTGACATTATAAAAAGCATCAAAAATAAAGATATAATATTTGAGAAATAATATAATTTCTGGGCTGTAATGGGCCTTTAAAAAGAGTACATGAAAGATTATACAGAGGAAATGAGCATACGAAGCAAAGACGTCTTTTCTTCTGGGATGCAAGATACGTAGTTTCCTGTTGAAAATATTCTTCGTAAAAATAATCTGTTATTCTACATGATAATGATTACATTGCTTATGTTCCATAATTCTTAATTTTGTAAGTACCATAATCTAAAGTGTTTATGAATTAGATGAAAATTAAGATATGTTTAATTTTAATTGCCGCAATGAAATTAAGAAAATTATAACATAAAATAAATAGATTATTTCTGCAAGAGGAAACTTTGTAAACTTAAAAATACCACTGCAAGGTATATTTTAGAAGATGTTAAAAAAAAAAAGTTGGCGCTTCAAAGGATGAACAGTTTTTGGAGTGGAGTGATGAAATCATTATTTTGGAATTTTGAGATGTTTAAGATAGTAGATTAATGGAGGAACCCTTATCTTTCTCCAACACAACATGGGATGTAATAATTGTGATTAAAGATGGGAACGCTCTAACAGCTGATAAAATCAAGAAACATTTTGAAGAAAAACCAAACATTCTTTACTATTAAAAATATCAATAAAATATACATTTTCCCAAATGTTTGCTCTTTTAAAACTCAAAAGTTATATGGAGATTTGTTCTTCCAGTGTCAGATATAAAAATTAAAAATGTGTAGTGTTTTATACATGCTCTACTTTTTTATGACCACAATGGCATTTTGATTTTTCTGCAAAAAACTTTTGGTGTATAGTTTGTGCCATAATTTATAGAATGGTTTAAAAAAATTCAACTTCTTAAATAAATGTCACAGCATTCCAAAATCAAAGACTTATAAATACAGGCAAAACTGTCAGCGTAATATACAATTTAGTTCTTTCTTATTAATTTTTAATAACATTAACATTCAAAGCTCATCAGAATATAAGAAAAGTTACTTTAAAAGTGGGAGGGGGAATTTAAGCTTTTCTTATCTGTATGATTGATTTATATACAGTATCTTTTTTTCTGATATTTTTTTTGTTTAAATCCTGTAGAGACTTTATGTCTTATTTGGCTGATTTATTGGACCAATTACTGGGTTTCAGTTTATAATCTAGCAAGATCTAAAGCTGCAGTGAAATTGCATTTTAGCTGGTGTTGAAATCTCAATAAATTTACACTGTGCCTTTATTTAATGCACTGATGATTAAACAGTTATTAAAATTCTTTTTTATAAGTTGTTGTTGTAATCTTGTAAATGTTAATTGTGTTTGATATAAAGGACATTTTTTCGGGAAAATAAGTTTTCTTCCTTTTAACTTGATTTTAAATTATATAGGATGAGGACAATAAATTAGATTGTAAAGTAATAATGACATAGACAATTTATAATTTACATAAACTAAATTGAAATTAACGAGTACATTTGTCCTATTTCTTTGTTATATATATATACAGTTTCTTTAAAACCATTCTTAGTAAAAAAGCATCTGATTGGTTGATGGTAACATAGCACACTTAGAATCATCATCATTGAAATGCTTGTAAATCAAGGTGGGTATACCATCTGAGAATTGCAAGTTCTGGGACTAATTGTTACTGGTAAACAAAGACTTCTGCAAACAATATCAGTCACTCTGCAGGAACCAAAATAATATTATGAAATATTAGGTGCTTGATCATTAGAAAATTCCCATGGGATACCATTAATGAACTATCCACATTTTAGATACATCGCTTCAGTACATTTTCTCCTACTTCTTCCATAAGCTTTAATGCATTCTTCTACAAGTTACTGCAGACATGCAGACAAGAACATTTCAATAAATGTTTTATTCTTCTCAGTTTTGATCTTTTTCTGACTTTTATTTCAAAAAATTTCATATATTTTTGACTGTATTGGAATGGAAAAACATTTCTTTGTTTTTGAGATCACCATTTGAGATTATGTTACTTGAATAAACTGATTTTTTTCATCTATAAATACTGGGATCATAATCTCAAGTCTTTATCTGTAGATTTTAGATGATATCTTTTTATGGAGATTTTATATCAGCTCAAAGCAGCATTTGAAAAGCGGCAGTCAGTTGGAACTTTACAGTGAATAGAAGTAGTGGAAAATATACTCTAGGATTTGCAAGCTTGCGTAGATAGTGTATAAAAGAATTACATCAGGAAATATGGATTTAAATTGATGTGATTTAATGTTTTGTGTACAAAAAATGATTTGGTTATGTAAATCAGATGATTTTTTATGAATTTTAATGAAGGGCTGATTCAGTGAGGTGTGTTTAGAAGTTAAATAGATTTACTTTGCAGAAATTGTTCAGCTAATGGAAAATTAAAGGATTTTAAATGCACGGGTACATTTGCATCCTATAATTTATGTTAAAAATGCTGTAACAAGATTGTATCTTTAGATTATGCATGTTTTAAGCATAAAATTAAATTTGCAATTTTTTTTATTTTTTATACTGAATTTGTAAAGTGGTAGATGAATTTTACTTGTTAAAAAGCTGATAATATAATTATTTTGTATTAAACACAGAATATTTATGTGATACACAAATTAAATGATGTAAAATAAATCTGTCAGATAACTGTCAGAGCCTTTTATTAGAGCACCTGCAGAGTGCTGATTGGCTATACTGTTATGTAATTAACACCAATTTAGTTTTACTGTTGCTTGAAATGAAACACTTTCTTATGTTTATTACAGGTGACACCCAGGGGCCACTGACATCTTATTGGGTGTGGTAAATATCAGAACACCTAGAAAAACATTGGAACTGCACTGCTGGGAACAAAGCTAAATCTGTGGAGCTATTTATTTATTTTTTGTGTGTATGCTTAAAAAAAAAAAAGATGTGAATTTCTAAGAATGTAACCTCTTATTTTATGATATAGTGCTCTTTATCACAGTGAAATTATTTATAATATATGAATAAAAAGATATATTATTCATTATTGGATTAAAGTGAAATACACATTGTCATCAAAGATTGACAGAAAGAAATTCTAGCAAGATTTCGGCGTGATGCCAATTCAGTTGTCATAGCGATGTGTCAACAACGTGATGGGAGTCGAGTTTTAAAGATCAGCTCCCCAGCCTTGCTGAGATGTTTTGTAATAGTGTTGAGTCTGGTTTCGTTAGTGAAAGGTGTGTAAAAACCTAGAATCCATAGAATATATAATTAGTTGTCTTTTCGTATTGTTATGGTATACCATCCATTAATAATCTAATAGAACAAATAAATTTTGAAATATTTGTCTCTATCTGTATCTAACATGGAAAGCAGTGCAATATCAGTTTTGTCTCCTGATTTGGTTAATCTAATCTTTAATTATAAGACAGCTGTAAAATAGAACTATGCATAATTTTCACAAGCATACTTTGAACCATTCAAACTTGCCTGATCTTGGAACCCATCAGCCCTTTGATTATGTCTGTTGGATAGAAAAATATCTTCTTTGAAATGTTTGCTTTTAGTTTTATCATTTTGGTAGCGTATAAAATATTTTCATAAAATTACATGTGCATTATGAACATTATTATGTGTCTAGCAAGAGTTATGGCCCTTGAATAATTTAGTCATTTTTATAGACCTTTTCGAGATTTAATTACCTTCTTGTGTAGGCAGATTTACAAGCAATTCTTGTGAACAAACAATAACTATTATTTTATTATCTGATTGTAAAATTTATGGTCACAAATGGATTTTAACTTCCTTTTTGGTATTCACAACTCAAAGTGAACAACATAGTTTATTACAGTTCTTACGATATTCAGACAAGAAAGTATAAAGTAACATACAACAAATGGGAGAAAAACATCAACCTAATGACAGATTGTGGCATTTCCTTGATACATTTAACACTGTCAGACAATTGACTCCAATATAAAACAGGAAGTTTATGTCATGAAATAAGAAAAATACATAAAAAAAAACTATATATATTTTATAAGCTTTTATCAAACCTTTACCAGACGATACATGTAATATTATAATATAACAACAAGTTTTCAGAGTCTTTGCCGGAAATTCTGCTCACTTCCCATAATGCAGTTCCTTGTTTTAATGCATTTTCTCAGGCTTTCAAGAACAATGGCTATTTGTTCCTCTTAGACTAGTTAAGTATCAATAAGAAATTTCCCAGTTCCAAAATTTCTTCATAAAACATTTCAAAGACCACTTAGCTATTTCGCACTTTGATAGGAAATGGTGAACAGTTGTTCAAGTACTTCAGACTGTAGTTTTAAAGTCTATATCATGATAACGGAATGGGAATTTATGATTTTTGATCAAAGTTTTTTCATGTTAATGTTCTTAGAGAAATAAGTTAAGATCTAACTTAATCATGCTATTTTGTATCTATTTTTGAAGACATTATATTTTTGATCAACATTTCTGAAATATTTTGTTTTAATGTGGTAGCGCCAAAATTTTTTATCATGACAATAACATTTGCATTATGAACATTATTATGTGTTTAGCAAGAGTTATGGCCCTTGAATAATTCAGTTATTTTTATACACCTTTTTGTTCGTAAATCAAAAAAAAATCATCTTTTTTTACACCTCTGCCTTAGTTAATATTGCATGTCAAATGCCTGGTAAGGCAGTACATGTTAAATTTGCATTTTTTCCCTAGGGTTAGACTATTTCTCAGAAACAACATCAATTTGAGGTGAAAATTAAGTCAGATAAAAATGTAAAACATTATATAGATAGTGTGTCTCTGTCTAATAGGGGTATTGACAGGCGAATACATAAAATAAACCCTTTAATAGCATTGATAAATGTCTTAAAATGCGCTATTAATTTTATAGCAGGGATAGATTTTATAGATTTCATTTATTGTCTTGTAGAATGACCAGTCAGTCCACCACAATAAAAGATGGTCAATTTATAAGGCCATAAAACTAAAGTTACCTAAAACGGACTAACATTAGATTTTTTTGGTCAATTTTCTGGTCTGCTGAATTAGAAACTTTAATTGAAAGAGATGACACATCATTGTGAAAAGTTAAGGAACGTTTAATCTCAAAAAAATGACCATGTTATTTAAAAAGGTAGCTCCTTATATGCTTGAGATAGGGAATTAAACTTTATACTAGGAGGTGTTTAGTAAATTTTCACCTCGTGTAAGACATTAAACATTCTTACTGGTCTGTTTTTCAAGTACTTATTACATATTCGTCAATAGATTCAATCGATAGATCTTAGCAAAAATAATGACATCAACGGAAATATGCTCTTAAAATTGTATAATGGTACTTTTTTTATTTAAAGCCTTGACTTGCTCTCACTCTTTGATGTTTTAGAGCTACAAGAAGTCTAACTAGTCTTGTAAATGAATGTAAAACAGGAAAGAAACAAGTACTTGTTTATTATATTTCTAAACAGCGGGATAACAAAAATCATTAGTGAGCAACAAGTTTATATAATTTTTCGTAAACTAACTTATTTTTTCGTTACTTAATGATGTTTTTGCACTCGGTATCTCAAGTGTTTTTTATGGTAATAAATTAAACTTTGAAACACAGGTCTGCAAAATTTCAGACTTGAAAAAAATAATAGTTATGAGTTTGAAAATATACATACTGCATTCTGATTGTAAAAATTTAAATTTTGATGGAAGCCATGAGCCTCAGAATTTTTCTCAAAAAATGTTTATTCCGTAGGAGAAATTATAAAAAAAAAAAAAAAATTAAAGAGAATTTTCTTGTCAATTATAGTTATTTACTTGGTTAAATCTAATAAAAATTGTTTGATTTTTCCGTTGGAAGACTGTTTACTTTATTGACTTGAAATAAAGTTGGTACTAAAGTGTAATATTTTAGGACCCTATGTTTGTTTATATATAGCATGGTGTCAATAGTTTACTAGGTTTCATTACAGAGTCAATATTTAACAATTTAACTGAATGAATAGAAAATTGTCCGAGGGCACCAGAATTCAGGGTTTGAAAGAGTTTAATGTTTTCGCAAATAAACTTAGTTTTATTGGTGGAATAATGCAGTTTTAAGTGTCCATGAATTTTAAAATAGGAAATCTGTTAACACTTAGATAACATATGAACAAGAAATAAAAAAATATTTATCTTTGGTGAAGATCAAAGTATGTTTCTTTATATAAACAATAATATGTTTGTAATGGGCAGCCTCAAATTTGTCTATACAATTTACATTTAAATGTTAGTTTGTTTGTTTTTTCCTTGCAAGTACAGTAAGTTTATATAATTATATGTATTAGTTTGTACATGTACCAAAGAAAATTAAAATAGTTGACAAAATTAAACATAATTTCATTAGTGAAAATATCTAAATTATTATTTCAAGCAGTTTCATGATAACTAGTTGCTAAGCAACATTACCAATTCATATAATAACTTGTGTTGGAGGAATTTTAATAGGTCATTTGAGGGCCGTCAGTACTCCTGAATGAGTTTTTCTCCAAATGCTTTCATTTACCAGTTTACAAATTTAAATCACATGTAAAAAAGGCAACTCTGTGAATGAAGTCGCATATGCTACTTTGTGCAATAATCAACTATAGTCAAGTCCCCAGATTGCTGTTATGCTAGAAAACAAATCAATGCAATAGAAAATATTGACACTGAAGTCTTGATTTCAAACAGCTTGATATAGATAATATATAAAAATAATTATTTTCACATGTTTCCCACTCTTCTTTTTTAATCAATTTACTGAAATAAACTGTAAACACAGCTGTTGACAGATTGAACATCAATGCAAAGTACATGCCTAGAATATGTTGATATTATAATTTTGTTTTTATATATTTGTCATTTTCATTTTTTCGATTACATGCAATTAATCACATACTTTTTCATATTTTACTAGGAGCAACATGGATCAGTCGGCCACAGGATCAGAGTGTCACTGTGGGCAGGAATGTGACCTTCCCATGCGAGGTTCAAGACCCGAACAACAACTTGACCAAAGTTTGGAACAAGGGCACCACACCAATTTTCATAAATGGCGTTCGGTCGAATGTTCCAGACAGATATACTCTTATTGGAAGAAATACTCTTGTTATACAAAATGTGGAATTAGCTGATGACTCTTTTTATACTTGCTCAATATTTACATTTGATAATGCGCAAGTTAAACTCACTGTTTTATGTAAGTCAATAGTTCAATTTGATTTTTTGTCAAAATTGGCAATATAAATATGTATCCAAGGGAAGTAATGCAGTTTGAGATTTGTAAATTTTATAGTAAGAATTACTTCCCTTGGATCACTTATTTCGTTCATACCACAATAGAGAGATTTATTGTTTAGTTTTTATGATAATTACATAGTAGTGTCATTTGATATTTTAGGCTTTTGTGCATATGCAGCTAGCAAGTCTTGAAATAGTTTATTAATTTTCTTTAATAATTTGTTTAGATTTATTGTTTGCTTACCATTTTGAAATAAGAGATGCCTGCAATTATCATTAAAGTTTACATAATTTTTTATTTTACAGTGCCCCCAGGGCCCCCATCCATCACCACAAATGTTTCATCAAATCAATTCATTGAAAATTCTGTGATATCTTTTAACTGCTCATCTACGGGTGGCAAACCGGCCCCCACAATAGAATGGCTGAGAAATGGACAGCTTATAAATAGTGCTATATATACCCCACCCGCGCAGGAAAGGGGGACAGCTTCTAGTCATATTGAAGTAACGTTAGGACGTTCTGATCACAGTGCTAATTATTCTTGTAAAGTGTTTAATGAGGCTAATCAAGATTCTCCTAGAATAGAAACTCGGACTTTAAATGTGCAATGTAAGTATGCTCAAATACATGTTTATGTTTCTCTGCCATCGTAATGAAGTTGATAAATGTGACGTTAACCTTGAGACTTATTGTCTTATGTAAAATAATATAGATACTATCTGTGATATATACTATTCATAGAGTAATATGTACCTGTAGTTTTTCTTCAGCATATTATTTGAGTCTATATTTGGACCTTTTTACCCCGTTTCAAATCTCAGTATGTATGTTTCCTTCAACTTTAGTTTGTGTGTCATTATTATGATAATTTACATGTACATTAAGGCGTTGTGTTTGTTTTTTAGATTAAAATAATAATAAAGAAACATCGATTTCAGTTTTAAATATTACTTATGGAATATCTTATTCTGGTTGGTACACAGTTTGGAACTCCTACAAATATCATATATAATTTTAATATTTACACAAAAATTTCCCTTCCGAGAGATGTGGACCACTATTTCAATAAAACTGAGAGACAGAAAACTGATTATGAAAATAACAGGACAATAATAATAAGATTTATTGTACAAATTGACATATTAAAAGGATATCAATTAACATTCTTTAAATGCAGATTAATCAATTAATTACTGATTTTCAGATGCCCCATCCATCCGTTTTGAACCTAATTATTCCCCTTACCGTGTCAAGATCAACAGTCAGTTCAACTTGCGATGTATCGTAGACTCAAATCCTAGCTTCACCTCAATAGAATGGTATAAAGATGGTGAACAATTAGCAGGTAAATTTATTCATATCATGCCTCTCATTTAAGTATGTGTGCTTACAGAATTATGATCAGAGTTTGATTTGTCATTTCAAGTTGTTTTGTGTATTTAATAAATTCTCTGTCTCATATTTAATAGTGGTTTGCTAATATAAAAGTTTTTAAATAATGATAGTAAAGACGTTAGTCCAAATGCCAAAACTTCTATTTTTTAGATGTTCTATAATTGTAATTTTCAGTGAATATCAATGTATAATTAAACAAGTGACCGCCTCCGTGGTCAAGGGGTTAGAGTCGATGACTTCTAATCCAGTTACCTCTCTGGTGTGGGTGGGTTCGATCCCCGATAGATGCTTTGGTAGTTTTTGCACGGAGGAAGGTAGTCTAGTACTGGTGTAACTCTCCAGGAACGATGGTTAGGAAACTACCCGCCTATATGACTGAAATACTGTTGGGAAAAGGCGTAAAATGAAACAAAAAAAACATAATAAAACAAGTTCTTAAATATTTACCTTATGAACTTATTCTGTTTTAAATTTAGGACTGTTTATTGTTATTGTTAGGGTATTAAGTTTAACTAATCTGTCATGTCTAGTTAGACTGCCTGTTTATAAATGTTGAATTTGTAACCAGTATAATTATTTGCAAGTAACTGAAGTATTCAAAGAGTTAACAATCTTATATATATTCAATTTTAGTTGCTCTTCCAATTTATCCAATTAACTCAGTGCAGAAAAGTCATCATGGTAATTATACATGTAAAGCCAGGAACTTTATCCAAGGCAAGCCTTATGAAGCCAGTGCGTCTGTTTTTGTCGATGTCATTTGTAAGTATAACAATTATTCCCTTTATTTTTTTCAAAAAGAATGGTAACAAGTAAAGGATTTTGATTTGAAGTTTAAAACGTATTTTAAAAGAAAATAACAAGTAAAGACATTTTGATTTATTATCAAAGAAAATAACAAGTAAAATCATTTTGATTTGAAGTTAAGTATATATTTTGAAACTGATTCTGTTTAATGTAATGATCATACAGTAACAATTATCAATAAATATTGGCAAATCTGTGTCTTGATTTATGTATTATGTAATATATTTGTAGGACCTTCAACGTTTTAGTATTATGTTTTTCCATTGTATTTTCAGATGCTCCTATTATTACCACTCAGAACCTTATTATTGCTAACATATCTACTCAAGTATCACTGAATTGCCAAGTTGACGCAAATCCTCCAGCCTCACGTATAACATGGAGAAAACTCGGAAATGACCCAATTGAAGCCAACGGACCAAACTTCCAGTTCACGGCTGCCAAGAGATTTGATGGAAATTATTCCTGCACGGCATTCAGCCGACTTGAACCATCAGGACTACCTGCAGAAGATATCTCCTCAACTGGAACTACCATTGTTAAAATACAATGTAAGTTTCATGGTGCATGGGGCAATACTCGTGTGAAAATCTTTTTGAAATAATTTTTTTCTACATGATTTTAGGTTTCACTGGATAAAAACATCTATAAGTATAAAAATATAATTTTAGGTTTATAAAAAAACACCTTCTCATGCATTAATTTTTACAGTGACATGTAAAAGGTAATTTCTTGAAACTTAAGTAAATAATTATTTATCATATTGTAGTATGACCCGCACATTACATTTTCCTTTGTTGCAACAAACTTGACCAAAGAACAAAATTTTATTGTGTGACTGTTACTATTTAAAGAGATTTCACACCACATTCAGTTTTTTTAATCTCATCATTATGATTCCTTAAAGCTGAATTTGACATGAAATGAAATTAGTAAAGCATTTTTTGAAAAAAATCTAGTCACTGGCCTCCTGTGCTTTAAATTTCAATATTTCTACAAAATGTCATATTTTTACAACATTTTATATTGTTATTTTCAGATGCCCCTGGTCAAGCGTCGATCAATCCCATATCTTCTATATTGGTTGGTCAGACTGTAGAACTGAAATGTTCTGTTTCGGACACAGGATTCCCATTTCCGGTCTATGAATGGCGCAAGGTTGGGAGCCCACAAATCTTGCAGTCAACCAACAGTCAGACATACACTATAGAGACTGCCAGTCTGTCACATAATGGGGATTACACATGTTTACCTAAAAATCTGATGGGTGAAGGGACACCTGCCACTATAAAAGTTGTTGTTAATTGTAAGTTGTTCCTGTTTATTTATATAAAGTATAAAAAAGAGTAAAAATGTTTGAGTGCAACCTAAAAGACTCAAAATTTTCAAAGATTATACATTATATTTGCACTTTTGTCATTTTCTTATACACTAGAATTTTATAAGTTAGTTATGGATGCGAGGGATGTTTATAACGTTACCTCCCACTGCATGAGTTCTTGAATTATTTTGTGCGAGGAAGCTTTCCAGCAAGCTTTAAGAGATGATTTTTCCTTGTTTGTATCTAAAATAATAGTAAAAAAACATACAAATTGCCAAGAAATATGTACAGTTTCTGTGAATTACAGTTCCATTAAAAAGATAATAGCTAAAAGAAGCACTTAAACAACTGTTCTTTATTTTGTTCACAGCTCCACCAGAGTTCTATGAATCCACACCTTCAGAAACTGTCTTCACCATACCAATTACTCAGTCCAATATTTATCTGGAACACAAAGTGGACGGTCGTCCGGCGCCTAATGTTCAGTGGTTCAAAAATGGACAACCACTAGCCATGCTGGCTGATATGTATACTGTTGAGTCTACAAGCAGATCATTGGATCAATACAAATACAGAGTAACTACAAGAGTTTCCTTCTTAGGTGAGAATTATCTTTTTTCTTCATAGTAAATTTTGACATGCCGAAATGATTGCATTACAGTAAAAAAAGAGCAATAATTGATGTAATTAGAATAGTTTTGTAATGTTTTAAAGCTTTAACATCATTATGACTTAACAGATGTGAAATTGTAGAAAGTAAATATCACAGTTGTTTCCCTTGTGTAGTAAAGGTAAAGGAAGGGAGGTAATAATCAATTGTTTTACATTAACTGGTAATTGAGTTGTTCCCCTTTATATATATTTGTATCTCTGACTCTTGTAATTTTAGGGTCAGAAAGGGATCAGAACAGACTGCAGATAGATGACCTTGGAAACTATACGTGTAGGGTGATGTCAGCAGATACAGGGTCTCCTGTGGAAAAGTCAACATTCCTTTCCGTTCAATGTAAGCAATCATTAAATTGCAGTTTTTCTGACATTCTTTGCTTGCAATTTTTTCTGGCGTTCTTTGCTTGTTGTATTGTCTGTTTATCATTCATACATAAATTGATGTAAGTTTTAAATTTTCATTATTTTGGTATTATATATTTCTGTGAGTTAAGTTTTGAATTCTATAAGAAAATTTGCCAGGGATTTTGCTGCTGACCTAGGAATCAAGAAAATTGTTAATTGTCTCTTTGCAAATACATACTGTACATTATTGTTTCCAGCCTGGTAAATTTATTGATTTTGTACATACTATTTCAGCCCTTCATTTTGTACATATTTTTGTGTTTATTTCAGTTCCTCCTGAAGTAATTGTCAGTCCCCGTGTGGCAGCCAACATTGGCGAAACTGCCACACTGAAGTGCCTTGCACAAGCAAACCCTCCTCCAGTGTTCTATTGGTTCAGACAAAGTCAAAGGATAACAAACAGCTCTAATATAATGGTATATGAGCAAACGACTGGAGGGACAGCAACATTTGAGGGTTATTTACAGATCAAGTCTACACAACAAGATGACTTTGGGGACTATGTTTGTGAAGTTAACAACTCATGGGGCCAGATAAGGAGAACAGTAACACTTTCTGTCACAGGTATTTAATTTATAGGTTACCTGATAGATACAGTATATCATTTTCTTCACAAAATAATAAAAAAGCCTTTATAAATCAACTTATGAAGTACTATATTAGAAACAGGATTTGAAAGTGGTTCATGCTTCAAAGCTAAAAAGAAGCAACATTTTATTTAAAATTGTATATTTGTGAGGAACAGCATTTTGCTCATCAGCTTTTGCCAAACCTTTGCTGGTGACCACCTGTATATAAAGACCATGTCAAAAAAAACAACAGCATTTAATGTATTTTACTCTTCTTATTGCTCAATTATAATGCAACAATATATTTAATTTTGTGAAAGACCACTTGCCATAAAATAATTTCTGGTCCATTTCTGTATAAAAGGAATAGTTATTTACAATTTTGACTGCATATTGTAGGAACTTAATTAAATCGGTATAACTGGTTAATATTTTATTTTAGATAAACCTGAGGCACCACAGAATTTACAGTCTACAGAGAAAACATGGGAATCTGTCAAATTGAAATGGGATCCAGGTTTTAACGGTGGTTACCCACAAACATTCTTTATTGTAGTACAAAGTGAACATGGTGCAAAAACTGTAGAAGTGTACCCGAATGGTGTTTACACATTTAATGTTACTCGTAAGTTATATTTATTTTTTTTATCCTTTATGTTATTTTACTTATTTTACAATGGCCAATCAGATTCGAAGATTTCAGATTGTAATTTTTAAATGACCAATGAAAATTTCCCTGTAAATTTTACAGGAAGTCCAACTGAAAACAGACGGCCTCTGGCTGAAAAAAAAATCAGAGCAAAAAACTTATTAAACACATTACAAATAGCAAGTAAAATATCTATATAAACATATTCTAGAGTCTGAAAAAAATATCTTTAGTTTTATAGTAAATTTCAGTTTGTTGAATATGGCCATTAAACACATCAATTTGATTTAAATGCATAGAATACAGTACATCTTTTTCAACTATAAGTATTAAAACAATAATTGTATAGCTAAATTTGAAATTCATTTTTTTCAGGACTGATGCCTCACACTTCTTACAATTTTTTGGTATATGGCCAAAATGATTTAGGAAGGGGAACTAACTCTAAGGCTTTTACAGATACTACTAATGGTAAGATAATACATTTATTTCCCTTGATTGATAAAATATTTCTTAAGTTTTCAAATATTCATCATCATTTATATATAATCATGTAGATGTAATGCTAGTGATACTTAACAGAATAAAAGCAACCAAACTTAGTTCATTAATGGAAAATGAAAAGGTAGGCTAAGCAACAAAATGGTTTTGATTTTAACATTGATCAGTGTTGAATACAAATTAAATAAATATTTCTGCCTCATTCTACTTTTGTCTATTTGTAAAATATATTTATTTTCTTTCTCATTTCAGTTTTGTCCTTCCCAGCGCTGTCAGAAATTCCAAAATTCCAGGTAGAAGAGAAGAAATTAGAAATTCATCATGAACTTGGCCAGTCTTACTGTCTGCGTGTGGAAATAAGCACAGATAATCGTAAGAAATGGACGGTTGTTGAGCCATGTGTGACTGCTGCTGACGGAGTTGTGTCCCTTGCTCAACAAGGAGCAACCGATGTCAATGTATCTGTGTGTCTGGTGTATCGGCCGGAAGTTTGCGGGGATCCTGTCATGGCAGAAATAAGTAAGTCTGATAGAATTGTAGTACCAATGACGGTTCATATCTTAATCACTTGACATGTTCTCTAAACCAGTAAGCTACCGGAATTTCAAAATACTTGTTTAGGGACTTGAATGAAGAACTGGCATGTATCAAGGACTAAGCTCAACACTGGTGTTGTTCAAGTGTCTTCCAGGAACAATAACTACAACAGTGTTTTTAATCAACCCTAGAAAGGAAATACTCCCTCTAAAAATATAAGCAAGCCTCTGCCTTTTGACGACTATATTTGTAAAGATTTCCTGTCAATCTTGCATCAATTATCTTTACTTGTACTGATTTTATTTGTCATTTACTGATAAAAACTCTGTACTACATGTATTGATTGCTATGATTGGTCAATTATTGATTCCTGAAAGTGGGTTTGCTTGTATCAACTTCTACAGAAACTGTTATTTTTTTAGTCCTCTTTGAACAAGCATTTTGTTTGTGTGAAATACTGAAAGTAACTTGTTACAGCCATCTATTTATTGACAATTTTGAACAGGCTCTAAAGCATATAATTTATTTGACGCTCCAAAACTTAGATGGTCCTTTGTTTGAAAATGTTTTCCTCTATAATTGGGTGTAAATAAATGGCTCTCTACACAAAACTTGCTTTGTGACCTAGGTTTGTTTATTCTAAAGGTAATTATAGGGTGGCATGTCCTGTTAAAGCAAATTTCAATGGACAATGGTGGTGAAATTCAGGGATTGTAACAAGTTAAAATAGTGAACATTTAATGAATGGTAAACTTTGAACAAACAGTAAGGGTAAATAAATGTGTTCCGTACGTAAATACGATGGTTTGTTGCAAATTAAGCAAAGTAGAAAGACCAACATTTAAAAAATACATTTGATACAATAGTCCTGTAAACTTATGTGTCAATATTTGGTGAAAATGGATTGAAATTGTAATTCTAGTTCTTGTAACACTTTCAGCCAACATGCCTAGTAAGTTTGTTTTTTTATCAAATAACAAATTTTATAAATCTTCCCTACAATAACAGGCACTTTAATAGTTCTTCCTTTCTAAAACTGAAATGTTTTTAGTCCCCTACCGGTTTAACCGGAGGGGACTTTAGGTTTACCCTCCGTCCGTCTGTCCGTCTGTCTGTCTGTCCGTCTGTCCGTCCGTCTGTCTGTCAGTCCGTCAGTCCGTCCGTCCACAAAACTGGATCCCGCGATAACGCAAAAAGTACTGAAAATATTTTTATGAAACTTGATATATGGATAGATGGCAGTATGGAGATTATGCACGTCTTTTTTTTTTCTTCCTATGTTGAAAATTCTGGTTGCTATGGCAACAAATAGTCTGAAAAATATGGCAAATTTAACACATAAACTGGATCCAGTGATAACTCAAAAAGTACTGAAAATATTTTTATGAAACTTGAAATATGTGTAGATGGCAGTCTGGAGATTATGCACATCTTTTTCTTTTCTTCCTATGTTGAAAATTCTGGTTGCTATGGCAACAAATAGCCTGAATTTCAAGATTTCTGATTTAAATTTTTCAGCTTTTTCACTATATGTTCTTTATTTCTTAAGGTGTTTACTTCAAACTTTAAATTTAAGTTTCTGGTCATCAACCACATCATATGTGACAAGGTTTATAACTCTAGCACAAAAAATATCAGTATTACCTCCCTTGAACTTAGATTTTTTAGGGAAAAAATGTTGTCTTTTTTTAAATAACTTCTTTATTTCCTAATGTATCTACTTCAAACTTCATATATATGTTTCTTATTATCAATCAACATTTTTGAGAAGGTTAAATACTCTAGCAAGACTATTTCCAGAATTATGTCCCCTTGAACTTAGATTTTTTTCGAGAAACTGGTATTTTCACTCCAACTTCTTCATTCCTTATAGGATTTACTTTAAAATCCCACATCGTAATAATATGACAAGGTTGTATAAACATAATTTCCTTACTAAGCATGGAAACTTCACACATTACTGTGATATAGACAAACTTATTTTATTATGTTTTGTGGTTGATATTTTCAAATACAGACTTCATCCTCAAATTCATTATAAATGGCAATACACAGGAGTGTATGACAATTAAAGAACTTTTTGAGGGACCGGTAGGGGACTCCTGTATTGCCCGCAATACTATCAAATGCTTGTTAACAACAATTATACTTTAAGATATAATGCACACTCACTCTTGACAAAGATAATATATTGAGGAAATACTGAACCTACTTTAGTAATGAAATAATACATTTACACTCTGAATTTATGCATTTTCACTTGTTCCACATTTTATTTTTCCACCAGCACTACCAGTCTTGCAAATAACGCTTCAAGACTGACACCCCTTTATTAACACTCTACTTTAATTAAAAGTAAGAAAAAATCTTTTTATTCAGACTAGTATAATTCAGTAATAAAAGGTCATAGTAAATTTGGAAATACATTTTAAGGAGATGTTAGGGGTTATGATTTATCAGAATACGTGAAATTTTGGTAACCGATCTCATACTGAAACAGTTTCTCAGAACCTGTCTCACATTGAAGCAATTTCATTGGTTCATATATAATTTGATTTCAAGTAGAGCAAATTGTTAAAGTTTTTAGTTCAATACTCATAATTAAGTGCAAGTTTAAGAGCAACATTTAATCAATACAGTAAAACTATGATGTTTCTAATAACATGGAATTCATGTTGGCATACTGAATGGAGGAATTATTTTTCTTCTAGCCTTTTTGGCAATACCAATGGCTTTCCTGTTATATTACAGTTTTATTACATGTACAATAATTTATCACTTGGGATAAGACAAATGTTTCCACCAGTCTTTAATGAATGGATGACAACATGATGTCCCCCAACCTTGTTATCAAATTATTCAAATAAGGGTTCACCTGAAAGCATAGTTTAGCCATGACCCTTTTGGACAAAAAGGGATCTATTGTAATAGTAGTAAAGGGCACTAAGAATATTTAATTTTTATTGGCATTTAACTGATCTCCTGGCTTCAATAATCTTGTAACCTTTTATGACTTTTCACATTTTTGTATCCAAAGATCATTTGTAAACACATTTGATTAAATCTGCAAAATCTGTGAAAAATTGTGACCAATACAATGGAGTTAATCATTACAAACATTTATAACAAAGAACCGAGGGACGGACTCGGGTGTCATGATCTTTGGCAATTGGTCAGTGCAAAACTATGTTAAATGACCATTACACAGTGTATCATGTAGGGGTTTTGTTAGATTTTGAAACATCTTCGGACAAAGGATCGAAAGGACACACTGAAGTTATTGTAAAAAAAAAAAAAATGCTACAAAATTGTAATGTTTGGGTTGAAATAGTTTATTTGAGTATACTGCATAAAATTGCTCTTTTTTCAAAAGTTACCACAGTAAAAACTTGAACTTGTATTTAGTGGTTTTTTGTTAAAAAAAGACGAAATTATAGGTTTGATGTATGAGAGGTTTTGATGACGCCTATAGTGGACATTTTAATTATAATCTTCATAGAATTACATGTTGAACAATCTTCGCTGGACTTTGAAGGTGTATAGAATTCTATTTTCTCCATAGGAGAGGAATTGTTTGTAAGGTTGTCATTGAGGTCTCAAGATTAAGAATAAAGGCTCATAACTATGATGAAAAGTGATTGAATAAAAGGAGGCGAAATAAAAGATATTGTGTATTTAATATAAAAGAAATTGTGTATGATAATGAGTGATAGTGAACAGAAATATTCAGAAATGATAACAAAAAGGAACATAATGGAGACAGAAATGCCTATGACTACAGGTAAATCAAATCACAAAATCTTTCAAACTGCATGTATTTATATAGACAAAACAACTTTTTCTTTCTTTTTTTTTTTAATACTTTAAAAAGTTTCCTTTTTATTCCGAAAATCAGTTATTAATTGCTAATGTTATTTTATTTTTGCATATTTTAAAAATAATAGAATTTTATTGAGAAATTTAACTTGGGTGGATGGGCCCTTCAGAATGCATACATAGAATTTTGATAGCAGCAGCATCATACGAATACATCACTGCAAGCTTAAAATGTTAAAAACTTTATTATCTCCTGAATAATCTTGCAAAGTATTTGGATATTGAAGTTTTGCATTATGATTTATGGGAAATAGTTATTGAAATAGACTATATCTTTCCATTATTGTTATATCAAGAATTACCTCCCTTTTCTACACACCTGTATGGACAAGAAGATCAATGTTTTTCACCTGTTAAGTGGCAGGAACACTCCACTCCAATATTGGCCTTATCAATTATGATCTATATGTAAACATTATATAACCTAGATCAAAAACCCAGGTTGATTTAACCTCTGATTTCCCTTTCTTAATTAATGCCTGTAAAGCTTTTATTATGTAAAAGCCCAGAGGGGATTTATTAATATATATAATTTAATTTCTACATTAACCTGTATGTTATATTTTCTCTTGTGCTTTGGCCGTTTTGTCTAATACTTAAAACATGGTGGAATGAATTTCTCTTTTATTTCAGTATAAAATTTGTTGTATTCTTTGCTTTTGTTGATGTTTTTTATTGAATTGCTCACTGAATCTTGTAATAGAGATATATACAATGCAGTATCAATTGCATTTTTATAAAGATATTGTCTTGTTATGACTGGTCCCTCAACACAGGTTTTATATTTTACATGACTATTTGGAAAATATTTTGCATTTTTATGGCAGCTTTATTAAGGTAATAGCCTATAGTCTTCATGGAAGTTCTGTCTTTTGTTCAATATTTACTTTTATTGATATTTTAATGTGAAATCGATAAGTAATAACAATGCTAATGATGTTCTAGGAAGAGAATAACAAATTGATTGATAAGCTTTTTACCTGATACACTTAATATTATAGAACTGTTCACCAACTGGGGAAAATAATGTATACTGCCATGTATCTTAATCGGTAGAGCCGAACAGCAGTAAGATATTCTAAGGGTCCTGCTTGCCAGTCCCATCG